GGGTTAGGTCGTTGTGAAAAATAACCTAGGAGGTTTGAACCAATCAGAAAGTTGTGAAAGAAATGTTGTGAATGATCAAAGAGACTTAATGGACGGAGAGTTGGATTTTTTACATTCTCTCTGTCCCTTGAACCTTGACTTCACGCTTTGCATAACAACTACCCCCTAATTGACACTTTCATGGAAGTAACTTTTCAAAATCGATTTATGTCCCAATAAACCTTGAAACAAGCTTATTTTATTCTCTGGTAATAAATACGGCCTGGCCTTGTTTAATAATCAAAGTAAATTACAATTTAAAAGACCAAATCTGGAAGTGAATAAATCAACCTTAAACTTTCATTGGTACCTGCGGCTTACTAGCAGGTGGCGAACTCAAGTTTGCTAACTATCTTTGAGAAAGGTCTCGCTAAAAATGCCTGTTTTCACCCAAATCCCACGCTTTTAATTCTTTCGCCTGAAAAATCTCACACCAGATAACCCACGCCTTGAACCGAATCCTGGGTCCAAATTGTGGCTGAAAAATGGAAAGAGGGCAAGGAAGCAATGTTTGGTTTTATGTTTCGGGGAAGATTTTCATGGCTCAGCGTCTGCAGTCTGGTTATCGTCTTCATTGTTTTACTAGCGTTTGTCTTTGGCCAAGGTGAGAGAAACGATCTTAGAGCTTTTAAATTTTACATTTTATTTCGGTGCGGCGAAAGCGAGATACCAAATAAGACGCTAAACGAAGAAGTCAATTATGTCCTACGTTATCTGTCAACTTATTTAAGCTGTCCACTTTAAAGACGATTAAAAACAAACACAAACACGGAAAAGTAAGTTGCCTAGCCCCTTTCTTCGAACAGCGGCAGATACAGTCAAACGGTTTCCGACAATGTGTATCCTAAGCAGCCGAGATTTACAGGGTCTTCAGTTTTTCAGTGTTTAATTAGTGTTATAAATGGTGATAGCTACATGATCATCTAGAACGAAAATTCGTTGAAGGTTCGTCTCAACTCTTTTAGAGCATTGAAAGCCTATACGCTTTTAGTAAAATCCAACTAGTGGTCTATTATCAATGCTGCGTTCTGATTGGTTGAGCTACTACTAGGCTATATGTTATAGCCCACCAACAGCAAAAAGCGCGGGATTTTTGGCGGCAAAAGGGACTAAAGTCTAGCTTTATCTGGCTAAACTTTTTTTATTCTCGATATTTTTGACCAACTGGTCGGATTTTACTAAAATAATTATTCCTCTCGCCCTCATGGCCTCTGAGTCAATAGCCCATTTGGCCTTCGGCCTCATGGGCTATTGACTCACAGCCCATTCGGGCTCGAAGGATAATTGTTAAATAATTTTTTAAGCGTAAATACTCTTATATTGTATTAGACCTGGGGGGTTGCCCCTCCTTGGAGACCCAGGGGCGGTCGGCTAGGTCGGAATAAAATACATTTGCGCGCGAAATCTTGCGTGGCTGTTTACGCCCGCGCTTTAACGCCCGCGTGAAAACGCCCGCGCTCGGCAAACTTGTCAGGCATGTGCAGGAGAAAATTCTTCGCCCTTTCAAGTCCGTAAGTTTGTCGTTAAATATTTCTCCTCTAACAGTGACACAAGAGAATCGCACTAAACTGGTGGAGTAAATTTGCAGCGTTGCATGAACAAACCTAGAGGTGCTCTCGTGTTTACAAAACACCTTCGATCAATCAACAGTCTGATTTTTTCGGTTGGTGCATTTCTCGTTTGGTAGGATTTATATTTAACCCCATGCATTTATCATTAAACACGCAACAATTTCATATGTTTTCTCACAAATAGCGTTAACATTAATAGAGTCGAACCATGTATGCATAACAAATGGCAATCTTGCAAAAACTTACCTTTCCTTTTGTTTTGTTTTGCTAACATGCTAAATTATAGTTTATATTCTGTTTTGTGGGCCCCACTTTCACTGAAAAACTCTCCTCGAAGAATTAAAGTTCTCCTTTAGCTGCAGGTTTACAGGTAAACTCCCTCGTATAAGAAAACTACGAAAGCAGTGCGATAGATTCTGGCCTCCGATTGAGAAAAACCTGACATGATCAGAGACAAGCATTCCAGTGAGTCGTGGACATGGTGGAACTGGTTTGTTAAGAGTAGCATCCCACGGGCTCTCTCGCCCGTTCTTGAAAACTTTCGGCGCCGTTTATCCCGACCCGACTGACGGCCTCTGGGTCTCCGAGGATGGGGTTGCCTGAACAAGCCATTTGTAAACAATTTGTAGACTCGAGATTATTGTTTCGAAAACTGTGGTTAATCGAATTAACCCCTGACCCGTTACTCCTGTGTACCTGTGGTTGTTACTAAAATGTTGACTGAAATTTTATGTCGCTGAACAAGACTGCCCGAGTCACTCTCTATAAAAATCAACTTTATCGCGCGAAACATCGGGAATTATATAATACCTTCAGTAATAACAGCAAATTAATTAATGACATCAGAAATGAAATAGGTAAGGATCTGATAATTTTCCAAAATTAACCACACTAATTCGTTTTGCTTCATGTTTTGTTTACTTGCTTTGTTTATTTATTATTTATTTATTTCAGTCTTATGATCGGGGCGCCCAAGAAAGATTTGATCTGTGCAAACGATGAAAAATCGAACTTTGAATTTGATTAATCAAAGACGCGCGGATGACCATTGCAAACAAGGCGAAAAGAAAAGAAAGCGCTCTATTACATGATACAAGGGTTACATCTTCGAATTTGTTGAGAAACCTTAGCTATCAAAATGACGACGATGTGCAGTTCAGTTTTATAGCCTAAAAAGTCGGCCAAACTAAAGATCACAATGAGAGAATACGGGTGCGTAAATTAAGGGCATTACCTTCGTTTTGCGCATGCGCGCGAATCCCCATTGACCTCCTTCCCAGGCACTCTCTCCTTTGCCTCCGGCTTCCCCCCCCCCCCCCCCCCCCCTCTCCCTCATTTTTTATTTTTATTTTACAAAATATAAGAGGAAGGAAAATGAAATTTTTTTCTTTTCTTACAGATCACAAAAGAACTATTCTTATATACTTTGATTGATTTTTATAACTACTCTAAT